TCTGTGTGGCCCACTCTGATCCGTAACAAATCGGACTTCCGGGTCTTGGAGGCTCTGTGTGGCCCACTCCTATCCGTAACAAATCGTACTTCCGGGTCTTGGTGGCTCTGTGTGTGGCCCACTCTTATCCGTAGCAAATCGTACTTCCGGGTCTTGGTGGCTCTGTGTGGCCCACACTTTTCCGTAAAAAATCGTACTTCCGGGTCTTGGTGGCTCTGTGTGGCCCACTCTTATCCGTAACAAATCGTACTTCCGGGTCTTGGTGGCTCTGTGTGGCCTGTTTTGTTCTGCAACAAATTGTACTTCCGGGTCTTGGTGGCTCTGTGTGGCCCACTCTTATCCGTAACAAATCGTACTTGCGGGTCTTGGTGGCTCTGTGGCGCCCACTCTTATTTGTAACAAATCGGACTTCCGGGTCTTGGTGGCTCTGTGCGGCCCACTCTTATCCGTAACAAATCGTAATAAAAATACTTTTTCCCGGACCCCCCAAAAAATACCCCCGCCCTTTAAAACCCATTTTGGATTAGGGGGTGCAGGTCTAGGGTTTTAAGGTTTAGGGTTTAGGGGTCCCTAAACCCTTGCAAGTTTAATAAACTTGTGTGCTTCAGCTCTAGTCAAGCGCTTCAAAACATGTGCGCAGTTTGGGCTGAAAGAGACGTGCGAGCTTGCAGGTAGCTCCTACGAGGGCATTCAGGCTACCTCCGTGATCCGTGGACTTGCACGGTAGCGGAGCCTCTCAGAGGGACTGGGAGGCTCGGGAGCTCAGCACCTGAGCTTGGTACGATCCAGGGAACAGCAGACGACTGCCTGCCGCCAAGGAGCCGTAGGCAGAAAGCATGTCCACGACAGGAGGTTCGATCACGAAGACCAAGGAGGGTGTGCCTCAATGGTCCGGGGAGGCCCAGTCCTTCACTGAGTACGAGGAGCAGTGTCTGCTCTATGAACAGAGCGTGGAATACCATAAAAGGTACATGGTGGCCCCACGTTTGATCAGTGAACTCCAAGGACCGGCCAAGAGGCTGGTGATAGGGAAGAAGGCGGACTGGGTTTCCTTCGCGGGAGGTGTCAGGGTTCTCCTTGATACCCTGAGGGCTAGCTTGGGCAAGCCCCAAGTGTCGGAGATGGCGGACTACCTGACCAAGTATTTCCGCCAGACACGAAGGAAGGCCCAGGAGTCGATGTCGGACTACATCACACGGAAGTGTGAGGTGTACCTCAGGGCCCAACAGTCCTTACGGCGAGTTCTACCGCAGCACCAGAAACCCAGGGTGACTTCTAAGACGACGACAACCCCCACCGGGAGCACCCAAGGAGGCTATGGATACACCTCATGGAGCCGGAGGACCAGTGTGGAATCTACGGAAGGGACTTCCCAAGCCGCCGCTCCGGTGGCAGAGTCAGCGCCAGAGGCTCCAACAGAGGAGGACCGGACATCCAGCCAGGATGATGGCCGTGAGTCGTGGAGCGAGTGGAGCTGGCAACCATGGGGCCAGTCTTGGAGCGGAGGATGGCAAGGCTATCCCTACTACTCTGACTACTACGACTGGTGGAAACGGAGCGGCGGAAGCCACGAGGACAAAGGCATTGAGGAGGACGTGACCACCGAGATCCTCCCGGACTTTGTGCAGGGCTGGTACCTGTTGTTCGATGCGTCCCTGAACACCACGGAGCGCAACCTCATCCACACGGCGGTCCAAGGGGACTATTCCCTTCAGAGGATTGCCCAGGAGCTGCGATCGCAATGGGACGACAACAACATCCGGCAGCGGGACAATCGGCACCAGACAAGCGACTTGGGTGAAGATGACGAGGACTACGCCGAGGACGACATGGAGATCCAGGAGGGCTTTGCGGCCGAGCAGTTGACCGAGGAGGGCCAAGCCTTGGTTGCAGAAGCCGAGGAGGAGGCCCAAGAGGCCTTGGCTTTGATGCAGCAAGCACGCCGAACATTGCGGGAGGCTCGAGAGAAGCAACATCAGGTGAAGCTTTCGCGCCAGTACTTCCGATCGGGCGCGAACCGGAGTGGAACTGGCACCTCGAGAGCGAGCACATGGGCAAGTTCGCGTGGTGCTGGACCCCGCGATGACAGCAAGATGACCTGCATGAAGTGCGGAAAAGTGGGCCATAGGGCGTCCAACTGCACCCAGAAAGAGCAACAGGCCCAGCACACCGATGAGACTGAGAGTGCGCCTTTCATCTGCTTCAGCGAGGCGGCATTGGCGGCGAACACCAACGAGGAGCTGATGACCACGCAGGAGGCCATGAAGAAAGGTTGGTGTGTGGTGGATGGCGAGGCGACCCGCACTCTTGGAAGTATGGTTGCTCTTCAGAGTGTGCTCGATTGCAATGCAGCCAATCTGGGCCAGACCAAGCTTCTCAAGGTGGACACCGAGCGAAGACCGACGTTTTCGTTTGGGAATTCATCAGAGAACACCTGTGTGAGCACCGTGGAGCTTGGGGTCCAGGCGGGCACTAAGGAGGGCAAGCTCACCGTACATGCGCTAGATGCAGGATCAGGTCCGGTACTTCTGAGTGTGGCATCGCTGAGGTCGCTAGGTGCCATTATAGATTTCTCAGAAGATCTGATGGTTTTTAGGAACCTTGACGAGAAGCGCATTGTACAGGCCAAGAGGTCACAGAGCGGACACCAATTGCTCCCGCTTAGTGGCAACATGTATGAACATTCTTTTGAGGCTAAACAGCCAATCCAAAGTCTTCGTGATTTCATCCCCTAGGGACAACTCCTTCCGCGGTCTGCGCCTGAAAGACAGCGGAAGGTACGCTTTGTAGAGTCAGGCAGGGATGCGACTGAAGATCAGTCAGGGGACAATTTCTCTTCCAAATGTAGAACTGAGAATAGTGGTGTTAGTGTATTTCATTCATCCCTGGAGCTGCAGAACGACATGGATGTGAAGAACCAGAAAGCACAGACCACGAGAGCCTTGAACGGTGAGATCAACAGCAGCATCTGTGGTTCAAGTCTTCGGAAGGCCCAAACACCTCCCACCGAGCCGGTTTACCATGAGCCTGAACCAGATGACCAAGGCGGTGCTTGTGGACCACATCCGGGCTCACGGAGAGGAACCCCCAGAGGGATGGACCGTGATCGAGCTGAAGGCTCGCTTGGCCGAGTTGGACCCCTCCTTGACGGAGGCAGCAAGCCGAGGAGCTCACAAGACCGAGCTCCAGAAGTGGGTGATGAAGATCAACAAGGCCAGGGCGAAGAAGTCGGAGATGATCGAGTTGTGCGCCAAGGAGCTCGAGCTTCCCTTGACCGGGAACGAGACGGTGAGTACTTTGGAGCGGTTGGCACTCCAACGGGCCAGCGTCATCACCGAACCGATGGCGCGCGACACAGTGGGCTTCGGGAAACATGCGGCACTCGAGTATCAGGACATCAACCGTTACCAGCCGGGCTACCGCGAGTGGGTCCTGAAAACAGATACCGAGGAGACTGGGTGCGACTACCGGTTGCGCCGTCTGGCGCGCTGGCTACGTCAGAACCCAGCCAAGGGCGACCAGGACGAGAACAAGCCAAAGACCCCGGAGCTCGTGAAGAAGAAGGGCGGCAGTCGAGCCACCGGTGCCAAGACGATCGGAAGCAGCGTGGCATCCAGCAGCATGGCCTCGAGTTCCGAGACTGCGCCGCTCACGGTGGACCGGGACATGATCGCGATGCTCCAGAACCTGACGGGCACGATCCAGCACTTGCAGGAGAAGGTGGCGGAGATGGAGGAGAGTCGCGAGCGTCCCCGGAAGAAGGACACCAAGGCCATGTCGGAAGCCACGAGCGAGGGCTATGTGAAGCCCGAGAACAAGAACTGAAGGGCCCAGGTGTTCGGCTACCCGATTCCGGAAGATATGAAGCTCTAGGACAATTGAGTGCCGGGAGAGCTAGCCAATTGGAGCATCAGTCATGGGAATTGGTTCCAGGGATGTTTCAGGATTTAGTGGGTTTCCGGCGGTTGGTGTTACTTGAGGTTGGTGGTGAACCCGGGAGCCATCTCACGGCCACGCGAGCGCAGCCAAGAGGCTATCAGTATGGAATGGTGCTGATTTGAGCACCTCTGAGGGAGTGAAATTCACGCTACAACAAATCCAGTTGTGGCGACCAGGGCTAGTGTGGCTTGCGCCATGTGACAGCCCGTTTTCTCCTTTACAACACTCGAACGTCCGGAGTGATGAACAAAAGGCCGAGCTTCAGCGGAAGCGGGCACATGCCACGAGAAGTTACGTTGGAGCCTCTGTTGTGTACCGGTATTGCATACAGCAGGGAGTGCACTGCGTTTGGTCCATGTCAGAGAAGTCAGACGCGTGGAGGTTGCCAGTGCTTCAGCAGTTGATCAAACAAACCCAACCAAAACAAGCGGTGACGCATGGATGTCAAGTAGGCCTGCGAAGTAGTGACGGTAGCACGCTTGTGAAGAAAGGTTGGAAGCTGCTCACGACACATGCTAGGTTGGCTCAGATCATGCACAACATGTGTAACTGCAACAAAGACTACAAGCATGGTAGGTGTGAGGGCGAAAGTGCCCACCGTAGCCAGCACTACACGGAACAGTATGCGAAACGAGCGGCGGAAGCCATTACTCAGGAGCTCAGTCTAGTGGATGTCGTAAGGGAATGCCAAGGCTACTCTAGCTTACCCGAAGGGTTCGGAGACGGTGGCGCGTGTGAGTGCCACAAGGGAGTTTCAGACGGGAGTCTTCAGTGTGGTTGGTGCCTTCAGGGGGAACTTCAGATCTTTACTCAGGATTCAGGGATTCAGGGAAACCCTAAACCCGAGGCACCCCAGGAAGAGGAATTGGTACCTGAGACCCTAGAAGAAAACCTCTCAGCACAAGAAGTGATCATCGCCGAAGAGAAGGCGGGAGAGCTGCTACGCAGACAGGACTTCAGTGAAGCTTCATGTTTGGAACTCATAAAGCTGATGCCGTTGCGAGCACACATGTCACGACCAGGAAAGCTTGGTAGTGGTAAAGTTGATTATCACACTTTCGGTGCGTACGCTTATGGAGCTCAGTATGGTGTCAGTACCCGAACTGGTCAATTGAGGAAGTGCGTGCAGTACTTGAACAAGTATGTGAGCGGTAGGGTTCCCGGGACTCGACGTTGGACCTCCCTGGTTTTGAGTAGGAACAACAAGATGCCCATGCATAGGGATGTGAACAATGATGCGAATCAACCGACCATGGTTATGGGGCTGGGCAACTATGAGGGAGGAGGTCTGTGGGTCCAGGAAACCGTGCAGGCACAGGAAATGGGTTTGGGAGGACAAAGCCAGGAGCCTTTGACAAGCAGGACCACGCCACATGGGGAAACTGTCTGGGGAAGAAGCCATAAGACTAAAGGACAAGTGGTGATGTTTCCTCCAAAAGCATGGCATGAGACTGAGCAGTGGAGTGGAGAGAGAGTGATGTTGTCTGTTTACACCAGTAGAGGACAAGAACAGCTGCAACAAGGCCATCTGGAACAGTTGCGACGGAGTGGTTTTCCCATACCACCCCGACCGAGAAGAACGGATCTTGGGGTGCTTGCGGCTGAGGGTTCTGAGAGAGAGCAGAAGAAAGAAGAGGAGAGAATCAAGAGACAACTGTACTTGCTTCATGCTGCTACGGGACACTGTTCGACTCAGCATTTGCTGACGGCACTCAAGAGACGGAACGCACGACCGGAAGTGCTTAAACTTGCTGCTGAGTTCAGATGTTCCATTTGCGAGGAGCGACAGAAAGTGCAACCCAGACATTTAGCCTCTCTGGAACCCCTTCCCCCGAAGTTCCACACAGTGTGTGCAGATGTGGGACATTGGACCCATCCGGAATCCAAGGAACAGTTCCAGTTTCTGGTGATCATCGATGAAGGGTCTAGGTTCAGAATTGCCAGGATTGTGTCCCAGGGCCCTAAGCAGCAACCTTCTGGGGCCACCAGTGTTCAGTACTTGAGGGAGGCTTGGGCGCAGGTGTTTGGGAACCCCAGAACCCTCCGTTTAGACCCTGCCGGTAGTTTCCGTAGTCAAGCCGTGAAAGAGTACTGTGACCGACACCAAATCTTCTTAGACCTTGTCCCAGGAGAAGCACATTGGAAAGTAGGTCCATGTGAACAGGCAGTGCAGGGAATCAAGACGGTTATGGACAAGCTGTGTAGAGCCGAAAGCACCATCTCAGCTGAAGAGGCTCTGGCGACTGCGGTGAGAATTTTCAATCAGAGGGATATTATCCGAGGGTTCTCACCATCTCAACATGTTTTGGGTCAGGCGCCTGATGAGACAGGCAGGGTTGATGTTGCTGTTCCAGCCCTCCCCCCAGAATTGCTTGTGGAGAACCCAGGAACGGAATTCCAACAGGCTGTGGCAAGGCGAGCGGAAGCTGAGAAAGCTCATGCCGAATGGAGTGCCCGACAAAGGTTAGTTCGGGCTGCCAACTCTAGGGGACGTAGGACCTTGGACTATTACCCTGGAGAGTTAGTGTACTTCTGGCGACAACAAGATTCGTCCAAGAACCGACAGGGCCCAAACTCGAAACGTGGACACTTTATGGGCCCAGCTAGAATTCTTGCCACTGAAACCAAAAGGAACCCTGATGGAACTTTGCAACCTAGGTCTGCCGTTTGGTGTGTGAGAGGGCGTCAGTTAGTGAAGTGTTGCGTGGAACAGCTTAGAAAAGCCTCACCTAGAGAAGAGCTGATTGAAACCTTGTCCACAGAGGACAAGACACCCTGGACCTTCACGAGGGTGTCTGAACAGATAGGAGGCAACCAGTTCGAAGACGTTTCCGCGGATAGTCCCCAACTTGAAGAGTGGCTGAGGGCTCAACAACCTGAAGAAGAACAACAACCCAGTCGTAGGAGGATTCCATTCAAGCGACCAGCTCCTGTTGCGGAACCAATGGACTCCGAAGAGGAGTTAATTCCCGATCAGGAGGGCAGGGGCGAACCCAGGAATCCTGCGAGTTCCTCACGGGCAGCACGCCGGCCCCATCCGTATGGAATGGGAGCTGAGGCGACAGGCGAAAGGTGGTGGGACCGTGTGTCTGAGGATGCTTGGTTCTGCACAGAGCAAGCCTACTGGGAAGATAGCCGAGCGAGTGTTCAGGTTGAAGTGGAGATGCCACAAAGCCACCAGGGATGGACCAAAGCGCTTCAGAATTTCGAAGGTTACTTGGTCAGTGCGATGCGTAGAAGGGCTGTTGAGGTTCGAGAACGACATTTGACCGAGGAGGAGAAACTTCAGTTTCAAGGCGCAAAGGCAGCTGAAGTGAAGAACTTTGTGGCCGCTCGAGCGTTCGAAAGCATCCCTGAAAACCTTCGACCGAGCAAGGAGCAGGCAATAGGTATGAGGTGGATCCTTACCTGGAAACCCAGGGAGGATGGAACGCTCAAAGCTAAGGCTAGGGCGGTCCTCTTAGGATTTCAGGACCCCTCCTACGAACATAGACAAACCACGGCCCCAGTTATGTCTCGACAATCTAGACAAATGCTCTTGCAACAGGCCGCCCGTCGCAAGTGGACCGTGTTTAAGGGAGATGTTTCGGGTGCTTTCTTACAAGGTAGGGAGTATCCTGGAGTGTTACATTGCGTTCCGTGTGACGAGATATGTGATGCTCTGAATGTTCCTCGGTCTAGCGTGATGAGGCTTCGTCGTGCCTGTTACGGACTTGTTGACGCGCCTTTGGAGTGGTACAAGTCTGTTGATGAGTTCCTGATTAGTTTGGGATTGGAGCGCACGTGGAGCGATCCATGCACCTGGGTATGGAGAGTTCAGGGTGAGTTGAGAGGGATGATTTCTGGTCATGTGGATGATTTCCTGTTTGGAGGGTCTGAGGAAGATCAACAGTGGCAGGAGGTTCTTCAGAAGATTAAGGCCAGGTTCCATTGGGGAGACTGGGAAAGGGACACGGAAGGCTTCACTCAATGTGGGGTGCGAGTGTTGAGGACGAGTGAGGGATTTCAATTGAGTCAACCACAGTTTGTTGAAGGACTCCATGAGGAGATTCCCTTGAGTGCGGCACGACGTAAAGACAGAAAGGCTACCACCAGTGAAAAGGAGAAGTCTCAGTTGAGGGCCTTGCTGGGAAGTCTGAGTTGGTTAGCACAACAAAGCTCTCCTCACATTTCTGCACCTGTGAGTTTGTTGCTCTCGGAAGTCTCCACAAGTACCGTGGATACGGTCATCAGAGCCAATTGTTTGACCAGTCAAATCAAGAAGCGTAAGGAACATGTGATGATGATTCACAACTACAAATCTGATGAACCTTTGGCACTTTATGCGTGGGTGGATGCTGCCTCGGCCAATCGGCCGGATGGAGGTAGTACTCAGGGCATTTTCATGGGCATGGGACCCCAGGACGTTCTCCAAGGACACGTAGGACGAATTACTCCTATCGCTTGGCATTCGTCTAAAGTTGACAGGGTCTGTAGGTCCCCAGGCTCAGCAGAAGCGCAGGCGGCTGTGAACGGGGAAGACAGTCTCTATTACGCGAGGTACCAATGGAGCGAGCTCGAGTATGGAAATGTCGACCCACGAAATGCTCAAGAAACCGTGCGACAAGTACCGGGGTGCCTCATCACCGACTCCAGGAACGTCTACGACAAGCTCAACACGGAAGTGCTCACCGTGAAAGGAGCTGAGAAAAGAACGGATTTGGAGATGTTGGGACTCAAGGAGGCCCAAGTGAATACAGCACTGACCATTAGATGGGTACATTCAGAAGCTCAACTGGCGAACAGTCTGACAAAGGCTGGAGGACAAAGAGAGATCGAGATGTACTACCAGATGGGCTATCAATGGCGGATCGTGGAGGATAAACAGATGCGTTCGGCAAGGCGGA